GCTAAAACTATAAATTACGGATAGTGACTGTTTGACAGACAGTTATTTACAGCCCCAGCAAAGTAGAGAATATTTCTTGTTATTGTGACCTTCTATTCTTATAGATAGAGCTGCTAAACACTTTTCCTTTAGCAAAGGCAGTTGCTGCCCTCTACATAAAACAAGGTCACTTATAGAGCAAAGCAGACCCAGTTATAAAGAAGTCGAAGTTCTCCACTGTTTATACATCTACTTCTTCCCAGAAAATTCAGCAACAAATTACACTTCCTAAACAAGACCAATGCACATATTAGAACTATCTTTCCAACTCCTTTTAACCTTAACTTCTGGACCAGCAATGTACCCATCAGGGGCAGACTGAAAACTCATGGGGCCCCCGGGCAATAGGGGATCATGGGGCCCCTGTATCCTTGCCCAAACTCAAAAAAGCCTATGAAAAAGGTACCAGGGGCATCTCATGGGGCCCCCTACTGGCCCTCGGGCAGTACCTGAGTTTCCAAATGGTCAGTCCACCCTGGTACCCATACATCACTGGACTTTTCATGGTTGTACCGGAGTGACGACTGCAGCTGCAGACATCACCACAGTACAGTTTTTAGAGCTGGTGGTCGGCTCTCTTGTACAAGCATTCAGAGCGGCTACTAGCAGCTCAATTGCTTGTACAAGCAGCAAGAAGGAACTCTCCCTCACAACACCTCCCGCTGCTCAATCAGGATCTCCCATCCCAACAGGATTCCCCAGCAACCAGCCAGTGCATCCGCCGACTGGCCAGGCAGCCAAACAAATCTGGAATCAGCTTTGATCGGTTCTCCTTTATTGTAAACCAGAAGCAATGATCTGACATCACTTCTGGTTTACTTGGAAACTTTCGGCTCCATTTTTAAAAATATGAAAGCTTTCAAAAACACTGATCTTGGTGCTTTAAATGCTTTTAAGTGCAGAGGAGGGATTTGGGGTCTCAGAGACCCCAGATCCCTCCATTAAAATACCTGTCACATGTCTATTGCTGTCACAGGGGATGTTTACATTCCTTGTGACAGCAATAAATAAAAGTGATCCAAAAAATTTGAAAGTGACAGTGTAAAAATAAAAAAATAATAGCTTTGGGAAGCTTTGGGAGGTATACTGGAGAGAGGAAGGGATATTGGTGTAATATATATGGCAAGAACTCATAATAATGTTCTTTATATTATTATTTTATTACTCACTTTTTTTAATGATTACTACTTTTGAAACATAAGGAATATTTGTGCTGCATTGACTTATTGGACGTATTTTGCCATATCAGGTTCGTGTCCCCCTGCTTTTTTTTTTTATCTGTATGGGTTTGTCATATTTTTGTAGTGCTTTCCCTTTGTTCAAGCATTCTGTGTTCCCTCTGGATATATTATGGTCATTGACTGATCTTGTTTCTTTATAATATTGCTATATGCACTCCAGGTTGGAGCGAAGTGGTGCCAACTCCGGAAGTGACGTTGCGACGTGCACCCCGGTCACAGGGACTAGGTCCCGAATCACTTTCACTTCCGGTCTCTGCGGTTCGGACCTGCCTTGCTGGCTTACATGCTGGGGAGGGAGGTGGTGAGGGTGGAACTTGGCCCTGGGGGCTGGGATATCCTCAGGCATAGAGGTGTGGAAATTATTCCACACCCCTAGAGCGGGGGAGGAGCCTGCCCTTGGGCATGATGGAATCCCCCTGGGGTAGTGGAGGTGGTCTCAGGGAGGAGTATCTTGGAGCACTCACACTATATATAGCCTACCACCTATGGGAGTTTCTCTCTCTGCCACCATTTTGACCATGTGCTCTGTGGGGGTTGGTGATATAGCAACTGGACTATAGGTGAGTTTTGATTATGCTATCTGTATTTGCTCTTGAAAAAGAAGACACTAGTCCTAGGTTACCTTTTGATCTATGTTTGCATCTTTTTTTTTATTTTAGACTAACGGATGAGAACATCTTTTAGCCCTTTTGGTTAATACCTGGCTGATTCTTAGAGACAGAAATTCTTTGAATGTATGGAGCCAAAATTATCTATTTGGAGCTTTATTGACTTTTGGACTTTTTGAGGTGGTTGCAATATATGTGATAAAGGGTATATTGATTTTCAAATTCGTTGTGCAGAGGTTTGTCGAAACTGCTGGCAATAGTGCAGAGCTCTGCAGTCAGATCCCTCCCCACGGGCTTGGTATGTGTGGTCATCTGGCATAGTGTCGCACATGTGAATATAAGGTAATAAATCAAAATAACAGATCAAATAATAAATACATTTTTTTTCTTCCTCCTGCACTTCCCTGACCTTATTCCTCAATCCAGGGTGGGTATTTATCAATTGAAGAAAATTATATCAACAGATTCTATGTTATGAAATTGATGGTTATTATTGTTTGTAGCGCTATAACTATTATATGATTTTAATAATTGTACTTATTTTGTTTCAGTGTTTATATAACATGATCTTGAGGAAGCGGTTTTCCCACAAAACGCATCGGCCACATAAGAATAGGATCTCAGGAACAGATACATGGTTATACAAAAGTGACATAATGTTCACATATTTTTAAGATTACAATATTTTATGATAATGTTTTGTGATATATGTATAATGCACTAATAAAATATGTTTTTTATATATTGACATTGTTGTAGCCAAACCTCTAGAGGTACATTTATAGTCTCAATTCATATTGCTCAAGACACATAGACCTCCTCTGTAAATCTAAAGTGGTGACTTGTAAAGGCTTTTAAATCATGACCTATGAATAGTAAAATTTACACCGTTTGTCACCGTTACACGGTCTTGCGCAATTTTAAAGCATGACATGCTTGGTATCTATTTACTCAGCAAAACATTATCTTTTATATTTTACAAAAGATTCAGTTATATATTGTGTTTATTTGCAATAAAATTTTAAAAATGTATTTTTTTTCAAAAAATTTAATTTGAAAAACCACTGTACAAATACCGTGTGACATAAAAAAGTGCAAAAACCACCAATGTATTCTCTAGGGCCTCTGCTTCAAAAACATATAATGTATGGGTGTTCTAAGACATGTTCTAGCAAAAAATACTGATTTTAAAATGTGAACAAAAAGTGCCAGAAATGTCTTGGGGCTGGAAGAACCCTTGAAACAAATTTTAGGTCACAGGGAACCATGCTTACAATTATTATATTTACAGTTCTTGAGACATTAGTGTAAACAGTAGGTGGATATAAGAATGAATAAAAGAATAAGCAATGTGGCGTACATACCTTATTTGACACCCAGGAATGCTCTGTACAACAAAACTATTTTTGGTAACAATAATTAAGTTAACAATGTTTTTAGACAAAGTGCCACTAATCCACCTCATTCCAAACTTCTCGTGTATCAGGTGGCAGCTAAAGGGAGCCTATCTGTCTTCTGTCCACTGTCTCTGCAAAAAAACAATCAGCCACAGAACGATGATAATATCATTCATAGCAACTTTATTAAGTCAGTACAAACACACTGAGAGTCCCTGACCTGAAGTATTAAAAATGTCTGGTTTTCAAATAAAACAGTGCATGTAACCAAAGTTTGGTATATGCACATTATTGAGAATCCATCCGGTACTGATCTGACCTCAATAAAATTTACTCTGAGGCATTATGTTTTACTAGGTTTCTTCTTTGCTTCTTGTACTTTTTATTATATAAGCTTGGTAAAGTGATTGTAAAGACTGAAGGTTTTTTTACCTTCATTCATTCTATGCATGAAGGTAAAAAAAATAACTGTGTGCTGCTCCCACCTACGCCCCCCCCCCCCAAAACCTACCTGAATGCGATCTCAATCCAGTGCTGTGCAGGGGAGCCTTGGCTCTCCTGGTTCTCTCTCTCCTCATTGGCTGAGACACAGCAGTGGGACCCACTGGATCCCACTGCTGTCAACCACTAGTGAGGTGCAGTAAGCCATAATCATCACAATTATGACAAACCACGGCTTGAACTATCTTGCTTTGCATGTAATGAGTCTATCTCATATATTAGTTTCACCTTTTAAGTTGCACTACTGAAATAAATAAACTTTTGCACGATATTCAAATTTTTCGAGTTTCACCTGTACATGCAACCACAACTGACGTTGCTGCAACACTATCCTAAAAGAAAATGTCCTGCCCTGATTTTCATTGACCTTTGTACAGCTGGATATGGGGAGAAATGTCCACTTTCCTACAGGGCTGGAATACCTATTTTTCATCTCAATTAAATAATGCTTATTTTTGTTAAAGGGGTAATTTTTCAATGGCTGAATGTTTTGTGTAAAGATGCTCCATTGGATATTGTATTCAGATACAATAAAAAAGCAAACAATAATAAGCTACAGTATATTCCTACAAGAATTTTTGCCACCAGGCTGATGAATATAACTGTTCTCAGAAGCCTTGTTTGTGTAGAATGTCTTGGAAAATGGAATTTAGTACAGGATGTGGTCTGTTAAGATACAGTAATATCATGAAAGCAATGTTTCCCAAGGCAGTCCTCAGGAGACCAGTAGCATGTCATGTTTATCCCATGTTTTTGCACCAGCAAAAATAATTAGTGTTTCCTTTGTACTGTAAGCTACAGTACAAAATGTACTAAAATGACTATGAAACAGCCTGGACATCGAAAAAATGTGTGTTATTGCTGGTAGCTTAGAATTTGAGTTAGGGAACTAGGTGATATGACTCAAGTGTGGTCAAGCCAAAATGAAGTAAGAAATCTTGGATAACTATATGCTCGTGATAGAAATTAATTTTCAAGAGTTTGTTAATATATTTGTATATTTATGCTTGTACTGATTTTTATAAATGGACATCATCAGTTTGTTTTCCAAACCAGGGCTCTTAGCATGACTTTTCAGCAACTTCCAAAAGATAATTACTTTTGTATAGGTCTTTTAAACACTCACCCAAGTGATAAAAAATTTGCAACAATATTCATGAAAATAGGACACTGATGCAAAATATCTGAAGAGTGTGAATTTACAAAGGATTTTATTAATATTTTCTAGGTAATTCACAAGTAATTCTCATATTGCAGCAACAAATGATTTCCTTGAATGTCTTTCGCATTTCCTGACTGCGGAAGGCATATATCAGAGGATCAATAACAGAGTTGCACATAATAAGGATGAGATACATATTAAAATGGGACATAAAACAGACACAGTAAAGGTTCTGTGGACATGAAATCATCAGAATGAGATGGAGAAAGAATGGAGCCCAGCAAACAATAAATATTCCTATCAATATGGTAAGAGTGATGGCTCCTTTCATACTTGTTCTCTGGTGGACTGAATTATAGCCTGGCAGAGCAGCTATCCTCTTGACATGTGTACGTGCCAACAAGAACATATGGATATATAAAGATACCATGAGGAAGAGCATGGTGAAAAACATACTAATGAGGCATATTATTACATACGTTGATTCATAGTAAAGAATAAATATAATTCCACAGCCAGTGCAGAATGTCCATATACAAGCAATAATGGCTCCAGCTCTTTTTACAGTCATGATGTTGTGGTACCGAAGAGCATAGAAAATGGTGATATAGCGGTCTATAGCTATGGCTAGTAAACTGCACATAGAAGCCACCACTGATATACAGATCATGGAATCAAAAACATTATCTATATGACGTACAAATGCATCTTCCATAACAAGATGTTTATTATTTATGAGGTTTATTGTGATTGTTTCCCATGCATTAGACACGCTAACCAACATATCAGCTACGGCTAAGCTACATACAAAAAAATACATAGGGGAATGCAAATTCTTATTCTTGATAATGGCAAAAATCACAAGGATGTTTTCAAGGAGGCTTAGAATACCAAGCGTCAAAAACACTTCTGCAGCTATTACCACTTGATCACACGAAGACAGCTTAGTCTTGCTTGTTGGCACTGTGTTATTGCCATCTAAGTTGCTTATATTAAGTTCCAGTATACGATGCTGCACGGACATGTTCATCCTTACAAGAATGTGAATGTTCTTTCCTGTTATTTTCTGGATTTTTCCAGTTTCCTGGACTGTTATTCTCCAGTTTTGTGCTTTGGTCCCATTGTCAGGAGAGCTGAGGTATACTGTCAAAAATGAACAAAGACAGACATCAACATGATTCTTCAATGGCATCTTGTTACAAATGAAGGTGTAACAGTATTATTTTGTGGGTTTTTTTTTTTTGCTTTTTTAATAGTGATCAGAGATTACATTTTAATACAAAGTTCTGAGGTACCTTTTAACATGCACAATCATATGAATCACATGGCTAACATGAGTATGCCTGGCCATGCACAAACATATCTGATCATTCAACAATTACAAGTGAGGCACGTAGAGCACTCTTTGTTTTTTGCAACATAGACAGCCTTTATACAATGCATTTTGATCGATCTCTGGATAATTGTAATTAGCAATAAAGACCTGTGCACTGGTATTATCAGCAACCAACAACAAAAGATTTAGAAGGCTGCCTAAACCCCAACAAAGTGTATCAACCTGCTATTGCAATCATTTTAAATATACAGAATAGGCACACTACATGACAAAAATGCTTTTGCAATAAAGTTGTTTTCAGCATATATGCACAATTATTTGATAGGTACAATATCCAGGTATTTAATATCACATCAAGCATAATACAGTGTTTGTTGCATTGTTAATTTCAAACTATATCCAAAAAGAATAGATGCATATGCATAGGTAAAGTGAGCACCACTTAGTCAAATAACAGCTGATACTGAGAAATACAGGAATTTAGTAGCCAGAACAGAGTAATGAGAAGAAATGCAGAGTCAGACTCTGGTGGAAAAAGAGAGGAGGAGGAACATTTTGGGGTCTAACATGCCCTTTATCAAGAACATTCTGCCTCAACCAGATAAAAGCCTATGATGCAGTAATGGTATTGGGTCCCTTTTCTTCACCCCTGTCATAAGGGCAGAAAAAATACCCAAAGTATTCATTATTACGGCTCCTACCAAATACATTAAACAAATTTTACCAACTGGTCCAAAAATAAATATACAATATTCTTGGTCCATATATGACTGCCCCATGTTAGATTGCTGTTTCTCAATCCATGTTGCAGGTATCGCTAGCAGGTCATATTTTGCAGATCTCTGCTCACAGCCACAGGTATAATGATTGTTAATTACACATATAAAATATATAAAAGGAAGCTGTTGTACCTGCGTAAGGATTTATTTTTCTATCTATGCAGTCCTGATGTTCACACAAACCCATCACATAGCACAGCCAGGTAGATGACACAGTTTACAGTTAGATAATACAGTGATGTTACCTCTGCATTCTAAGCCGCTGAATAGACAGTGACATAGAAGCAGTAGACTTCTATGATTCGGTCATCCTTCTGCTCAGTCCCACCTATCCTATCAGCATGTTCCTTGTCAGCACATTTTCATGCAGCATACTTTTCTAGCTTCCAGTCCTTTCCTTTTCCAGTCTAAATGCTGCTTTATAGTGGTAAGAGTTAAATCATTTTTTCAGCTTCATTGAAAAAAATAATGATTGATTAATGAATACAGAGCTACATTTATCTGTACCTTTTATATGTGTAATTATGTGGTAAATGAAATAAAAATGTCAAAATGTATAACATCAAAGGTAACTTTAATTCACTGCTCACTGATTTTTCTTTAAAGCATAATGTGTAATTAAAACACATTAATATTAGAAATTTTCAGCCACAGACTGTTCACAAAACCAGTCCCCAAACTTCAAACAGAATGACAGCTTATGCAAGTAGAAGAATTTATTCACAATTGTTTTACAAGTTATGATATTTTCTGCATGTAACTAACTTCCCACTGTAAGCTATTGATAAATATAATGTGCATTGTACCACTGCAACCCTGTTTATAAACATCTACCATCTAAGACATTGCCAGTGTCTCAGTGCCAGTGTCAAATACACTACATTGCCAAAAGTATTGGGATGCCTGCCTTTACGCACATGAACTTTAATGGCATCACAGTCTTAGTCTGTAGGGTTCAATATTGAGTTGGTCCACCCCTTGCAGCTATAAAACAGCTTCAACTCTTCTGGGAAGGCTATCCACAAGGTTTAGGAGTGTGTCTATAGGAATGTTTGACCATTCTTCTAGAAGCTCATTTGTGAGATCAGGCACTGATGTCAGATGAGAAGGCATGGCTCGCAGTCTCCACTCTAATTCATCCTTAAGGTGTTCTATTGGGTTGAGGTCAGGACTCTGTGCAGCCCAGTCAACTTCCTCCATCCCAAACTCGCTCATCCATGTCTTTATGGACATTGCTTTATGCACTGGTGCACAGTCATGTTGGAACAGGAAGGGGCCATCCCCAAACTGTTCCCACAAAGTTGGGAGCATTAAATTGTCCAAAATGTCTTGGTATGTTGACACCTTGAGTTCTATTCACTGGAACTAAAGTGCCAAGCCCAACCCCTGAAAGGCAACCCCACACCATAATCCCCCCTCCACCAAACTTTACACTTGGCACAATGCAGTCAGGAAAGTATCATTCTCCTGGCAACTGCCAACCCCAGCCACATCCATTGGATTGCCAGAGAAGCGTGATTTGTCACTCCAGAGAACATGTCTCTACTGCTCTAGAGTCCAGTGGTGGCGTGCTTTATGCCACTGCATCTGATGCTTTGCATTGCACTTGGTGATGTAAGGCTTGGATGCAGCTGCTTGGCCATGGAAACCCATTTCATGAAGCGCTCTACACACTGTTGTTGTGCTATTCTGAAGGCCACATAAAGTTTGGAGGTAATTAGCTATTGACTCTGCAGACAGTTGGCGACTTCTGCACACTATGCGCTTCAGCATGCACTAACCCCGCTCTATCATTTTACGTGGCCTATCGCTTGGTGGCTGAGTTGCTGTTGTTTCCAGTTGCTTCCACTTTGTTATATTACAACTAACAGTTGAATGTGGAATATATAGTAGCAAGGAAATGTCATGGATTAACTTATTGCACAGGTGGAAACCTATCACGATACCACGCTTGAATTCATTGAGCTCCTGAGAGTGACCCATTCTTTCACACAATGTTTGTAGAAGCAGTCTGCATGCCTAGGTGCTTTAATGTATAAACCTGTGGCCATGGAGGTGATTGGAACACCTGAATCCAATGATTTGGAGGGGTGTCCCAATACTTTTGGCAATATAGTGTATGTAATGTGTTATACATATCTATATTAAATAAATAGAGATAGGTAAAAAAATAAAAACTATATTTTTGTATTTTGTGTCAGGTGATGAATTTAAAATAGTTCATATTAAATTATATTAAATTCCCAAATATGTTGTTTTTCGTTTTAAATTGAGTAAAACTGCCTTTCTCAAACTTTGAATAATTTTTAGGTCTAGGGGACCCTTGCTAAAATCAAATTCATTGGTGGTCAGTGAAAAAAATGCGCCTTACATTGGTGATCAGCAGGAAGAATAAAACTCTTGCATTGGTGATTAGAATGCCACCCAAACAGACAGCCAAAAAGATTATTGGATTCATGCAACCAAGTGACATTGACCCTGGGAATATGAAGCCACCATCAAATGGGAGGTCCATCAGCCACAGCTCAAGGAACCCCTAGCAACCTCTGGAGCAACCTTAGGGTTCCATAGAATCCTGGTTAGAATGGCTGGAGTAGGGAATGGTTTGTTTTTGGTTTGTTCATTGTTTGAATCCCATTGGAAGATTTCTCTTTACTTCCTATCCCATACACACAACAGGAAGTTAGATGAGACTTCTCTAAAGTTAGTTGTCACTGGAAAACAGGTGTCATCCCTGGAAGGTTTCCAGACTCACTTAGCTATAAAGCCTTTTGTTCACACACAGAAGTAGATGATTCACCAGCAGTGACTCATTCTGTACCAGACAGTTCAGCCTGAGATTTAGCTAAGCAAAGGATGACAAACAGCAGGCTGTAAATTCGGTGCTATCTATAATTGTACATCAATAGCAATAAATAGATAACAACAGGTAAAACTTACAACACTTTAAATTCTTGTATAGATCAAGCACTAGTAAATATAAAACAAAAAAAAACGTATTCAAGGTAGCATAGCTGCTAATAATATTTAAAACAATTTAAACAATTGTAAGAGTACCTATAATGGTTAGCTGACTTACAGACTACAGGAGGCATAATGTACAACATTTTTTTTCTGTTGTTTTAGAGTGAAGATTCTGTTGAAAAGGATTTCTATAAGGTTTATCTAAACCCCAAATATTTATATACTGCAGTCTTTGGATGTGGTGCCCACATTTGGTTTCCTTTTTTTTCACAGTAGTAACATTTTCAGAAAATACTTGTTGATCTTGATAGAAAAAAGTGCTGTTTCTGTGATTTGTCTGTTTATCATGAAAGAAAAAAATAATCTATTGAAACCAAGCAATGCAATTATTTACAAATGTATTTAAAGAATTTGTAAAGGCTCCGGTTTTTATTTTAAATAACAAACATGTTATACTTACCTGCTATGTGCAGTAGTATTGCACAGAGTAGCCCAGAACCTCCTCTTCTGGGGTCCCCTGCCAATGCTTTAGGCTTCTCCTCCTCTCAGGACACACCCTTAGAAAGCAGTTTCCTATGGTGGCAAGCCTGCTCACTCTCAAGCTGGGTTGTGTGCTTCTATTGACACACACACAGCACGGTTCAGCCTTGCCCCTGATCCCTTCCCACAGAATTTGAATGACAGCAGCAGAAGCCAGTGCCTCAGAAAAGGCTGTAATAGCAGGCAGAGGGGAAAGAGCCACTACAGGTGGGGACAGCACTGGATCAAGTGAGGAGGTGATGCACTCCACTTCTGACAGTTTCCTGTCCTATTTTAATTGTGCAGGAAGCTTAGTTAATTCCATGGACTAAATAATAACTCCAAAAGTCACACCCTCAGGAAAGCCATGATGATGAAACATCAGAGCATGACTATACATGACATCAGAAAGCCATCTGGAAGGGACGATCGTCAGCCACCCAAAAGTGACGCGGCAAACTGTTAATGTCATCATTCTATGTGTTAAACCTTTATTTATACACGTGAGTGTAAATTTGTAAATTTAATGGGGGATTGGTTATATAATACATTTTTGAAATGGGATCAAGCTATGTGGCTCATTTGTTTTTCTTCCTTTGTGCTTCAGTGACCACTTAAGACCATCAAGGGGATTACAGGGCAGCACAGTGGCTAAATGGTTAGCACTTTCACCTGGCAGCACTCGAGTCGTTGGTTAGAATCCCAGCCACGGCACCACCTGCTTGGTGTTTGCATGTTCTCCCTGTGCCTGCGTGGGTTTCCTCCGGGTACTCCGGTTTTCTTCCACACTCCAAAGACATGCTGGTAGGTTAATTGAATCCTGTCTAAATTGGCCCTAGTATGTCTATGTATAGATGTGAGTTAGGGACCTTAGACTGTACGCCCCTTGAGGGTTAGGGACTGATGTGAATGTACAATATATATATGTAAAGCACTGCGTAAATTGATGGCACTATATAAGTATCTGAAATAAAATAAAATAAATATTAAGGATCAAGGGACCATTGGGCAATGATGTGTCCATGCTCGACAAGCACTTGTATCTGGTGAGTGAGGTGTCTGGAGGGGAAAGTGGCTCACGGATCACATTGTGGTGCTTAGAATGGAAAATATGAAGAGGAAATTTATTTATAATGGACCTTGATTTATATATATATATATATATATATATATATATATACACACACACACACACACTGTTGTGCTAAAAAGTTTGCATACCCTGGAAGAATTTGTGAAATTTTGGCATTGGTATTGAAAATATGACTGATCATGCCAAAAAATGCTCTTTTATTGAAGGATGATGATCATATGAAGCCATTTATTATCAAATAGTTGTTTGGCTCCTTTTTAAATCATAATGATAACAGAAATCACCCAAATGACCATGATCTTTTGATGTCCTTTTCCATCTTTATTAAGTTCCATTACCTTGTTACGCAGGACTTTTGACAGTTCTTTGCTGATCCCCATGGCTCAGTATCTAGCCTAGTCAGTGCTTCCTCGTAAGAGCTATCAAACTCATTGACTATTTATATACTGACACTAATTGCAATTTAAAAAGCCTCAGATGTGGGACATTAACCTCTAATTGGCATTTTAACCGTGTGTCACCTTGTGTGTATGTACCAAGGCCAAACATTCCAGGGTATGTAAACTTTTGATCATGGCCCTTTGGGTGATTTCTGTTATCATTATGATTTAAAAAGGAGCTAAACAACTATTTGATAATAAATGGCTTCATATGATCATCATCCTTCAATAAAAGAACATTTTGTGGCATGATCAATCATATTTCAATATAAATGCCAACATTTTACAATTTCTGCCAGGGTGAGCACAACTGTATATAAGGGGACATTTATTGGTGGACTGTTCTTATGCTCTTTTCACACGCTTGATTTCACTTGGTGGAAGAGAGTATAGAAGATTATTGACTAAGGTATTGTTCAAATTTGCTGTATTTTACTGATTAATCCATTTTTTGTTTTGGGTGTTTGAGCGCTGTCATGTGAGGAGTTGCTATATTCTACATACTCATGCTATCAATTCCATGGACTGCAGCTAACTACAATGTATCAACTTTACTCTCATTTTAACAGACTCTGATGCAGAAACACCTGTTACAACTAGCCATGCTAGACAAATCAGAACCTTGTCTGTCTACGCCATTGTTTTAAGTGGTTAGGATTACCTGCAATCCATAGCTATTCATTTACATGAGATTGATAGCATTGGTAACAAATATCTAAAAAAAATACCAACTTGCTGGAACATTATTTCAGCAGGCTTCCACTAGTTACATTAGTCAAAAATAGTTGTTTGATGTTGATAGAAAATGTAATTTATCATTTCTGTTCATTGAACCATGCAAAGTGTCAGACAGCATGCAGGACTTTACACGTTTTTTAATACTACTCAACAATCGTCACCCTATGGACATAACCTTAAAGCTCACTTCCAGACAAAATGGTGAGAACATTGGTGGGTTTTAACTTGATGAAGCAATTCCCAAACCCTCTACCACACCTTTCTGTTATGACACTCATTACCTAGAAAGAAAGAGAAAATCCCTCAAAGATGGCATTGTAAGCTTTAGAAACATGACTAACAAAGGTTTCTATTTCTGTCTGTGTTGCCACTGGGGAAATTCTCACACATCCTGGTCTGACTGACAACTATCAAATAGACAGGAATTGATGGAGAAACTCCCAGATGGGGACACTGCCAGCACAGAACACAGATTCTTACACTTTGCACTTCTATGCAAAACAAAGAAGAAGACTTGGCTGGAGTTGGGCTTTAAAATAGGGTGCAAAAAATGTTGGTGTCCAAGTACAGTAGCCATCATAAAGAGCAACGGGATCTGTAATCTAATTACAAAAAAAAAATGACTTATCCCTAATATGTATGACAACCTACTGCATTTTAACATTGTAACAAATGCATTTTAAATATATTATTATAAATCTGCATCTCTTTTTAATATGTTTTGCTCCATTTCTCAAGCTAATACCTCATGTGTCTTTAACATTATAGCCCATATTAAAAGTTGTCTTCTACATAGTAATGAATACTTTCTACCTGGTGGTTATTTTATTTACCCTCTAATAAATGCATATTTTCTTTGCTGCATATGGAAATCAGGCTTCACACTTCAATTAAAGTAATGAAGCATAGTATATACCAATGATAAAAACCTGCATGAGCTCATATTTTAATTTTCCATAATACTCAAGAAATTGCAGTTGCTGCACTTTATACTGCGTCCACATCTTTTTAAAACTACATCTAGGCTGTTTGTACTAACTGAAGCATATCAATTAGCTATGTTATGCCATTTCATGGTGATTATCTTCTTATCTCTTTACATTTAAGCAACATTTAGCAATAGAGATAAATAGGACCTTCCTGGTTCAGTGGATTTTAGCGGCCAGTAATATGAATAATGAAGTGGAAGCTGGTAAACATCAAAAGTAAGGTGGCACTATCAAGCAAACTTTTATGTAGATTAAAGCCCTTATACTCATCAAGGTCCATTTATTCTGGCATCACATAGCATTTACAAATCAAAGATGAATACTATTGAACTGAGATAATATGTGAGGTTATAGGTGGATGGTGAAGTGGGAATTTTAAAATTATCTTTGTTGTCTATGGACTTAGATCTTAAAGAGGCACTGTCCCAATATCAATCCATAACACAAGATGTTTCCTATTGCACACTATATCCACTTACCATCGATGATGTATCAACTCCTCCTGGAAAGTTCTGTTTGTTTCTAGTTAGCCAGAATGCTTGATATACCTATCTTGAATACAATAGTAGCTACCCCAGTAGACTCGAAGAAAAACTTAGGCTCCATGCACACTAACGTTTTAGTATTTTTTAAGCTCTTAGAAGCTATTATCAGCATATTTCTTCTGCTCCTAGAAGTTAAATAGTATTATCCTATGTGCCCATGCTCACTACTTTAGGCTATTAGCATTTTTTGAGCTCCAGCATCTAAGAGCAGAGTTTTTATGTAGCTTTTCCAGCACAAAAAAAAACACTGAACAGTAAAACAGTACTAACAGCTTTTTTTTCTAGCTTTTTTTTACCCTCTACATATACTGCAAAAGCACTAATAAAACACTAATGCTCCTAAACACTCCTAAATGCTACTGAACACTTCCAAAACACTACTAAAACCCTACTAAAAAAAAACATTACCAGAGTTTTTTATTCATCGTTTTTCCCAGCTTTTTTTGAGCTTAAAAAAAAAAAAATGGTAGCGCACATGGAGCCTTAAAGCTGAATTGAACTTTCAGTTTAATTTGGCTAAATATAATCACAATGCATCCAAACAAAAAGTGTAGAAAGTCTCACAGTTGTTTTCTTTTTGAAAGTAGCCACATTCTGACTAGAAAATCTTACCCCTACCAGGATGCTGCAGGGTAGGACCCTTGCCCTGTGTGAGGGCAGCGGTCTCTCTTCCAAGGTCCACTTGCTGAGTCGGAACTATAGGTCTGCTTACAGCAAAGCTTTAGCTCTTATGCAGTAAGGCACATATTAGAGCTCTGTAGAGAGATTAATGCTATGTTTTTATGTTCAGCAATCTAATTTTCTTGTTTCTATATATGGCCTTTGGGAGGGCCTGATTGCTATGCACTGTGATTGATCACCATTGTGCACTCCACCTATATTACTGCTATATATAGGCACTCCCAGATCTTACAGCAGATATTAAAGTGGAACTTTAGTCAGAAAGTCCCGCTGGATCACTTCAGGTTGGCCCCTTTACAGGTATAGCTATATAAAACATTAAAAATAAGTGTCTATACTGTTTAAAATTCAGTAATACACTGTTTCACTCTGCTCTGCACATGCTCAGCTGTTCCCCATTTGTTGACGCCGCCAAAAATAAGACCCAATAAAGGCCGATGTGTTGACAGCCTAAAGAGTTACTGCTGCTCAGGGGCTCTGTGAAGCACACAGAACTGGTCATATCAGCTGCAGACTCCTGACATCTGCAGGCATGTGCAGCGCTGGACTGATGAATGAGGGCTCAGGTATATAAAAGGGGTAGGGGAGTTTGGTGAAGGGGCATACTGATGCCTAAACAAATTTTATCTCAATGCAAGGAATACATTAAGGTAAAAAATTGTAGGTTTTAGAACCATTTTAATCAAAGCAAAAACATTTTATTATCAATGTTTTGATGGAGCTCAGCCCATCTTTCCCAAGACACGAAAGCATGTAGGCAAACAGACTAATGAACCTAAAGTCCCATCCACCAACAACACCACATAGTGGTGACATCACATGGTAAAAAAGACACATGCCAGGTGGAGGTCAAAGAAAGATAACAAATAATAAGGAAAGAAACAGGATAGTCCACCAAAACAACAAAACATAACATGCACTGCATCCTAGTTAAAATTAAATTAACTATAAAGAAATGGCTCCTGCATAAAAACATAAAATGCAGAAAAAGTAGAAAAAAAGCAAAGCATATTGTTAGCACTTACTAGGTTGCTGCCAGTGCACATGGTAAGCACCAGGCAGGAGTGGACCAACCATATATTGTAGCATAACATAATAATAAAACAACAAGTGATGCGCTAGGGTAACATCATGACAAAATGTTTCAAATGAAAATTAATAAAATAGCAACAACAGAAACTGCATAAGGCCAAACAACCCACATGTGTTGTCAATAAACAAGTGTAAAAGTGTGAATAGCAGTAACAAGATATGAACTCAGACAACATGGATGTGCCCAAAGTTAGAAATACACACAAATGTACATAATGTGAATCAGTACTCCACAAACAGATAGAAGAAAACTTTGGGTTTCATCTCTTCCACATTTCTAGAGATGAACATGGGTGGGGAAACTTTTGGTGTTGCTCTGGGTCATCTACTGCAGACAAGTTTTGGTGAAAGGGGTCTTTTTTGCTCAAATGACTGAATAATTTTGTCATCAAGAAGAGGGACTACTATTGGGTGGCCACTGTGTAAGATTCCTAATGCAAGGTTAATCTACTACCACCATCTCAGAGGCAGCACAAAATGTGCCACTTTCAGGAGGTGCTGTAAAACAACTGCTTTGCCCCATTTCCTGATGGTGGCAGGATCCCCTCAGATGACCAATGTATCTTGGATCCTCTGATCTGATATGAAGTTTTTTAAACCATATCTGCCAGACCCAGCAGCAAGCAGCACTCACAGGAAGGCCCATAATTGCTAATCACATTGGTAGAAGGCAGGTGGGGGTGCTGGCAGTGAGGAGAATAAGAAAGAAATGGAGCAGGCGTTATGTTATTTTTTTTTTTTTTATTTAATTATAGTCAGGTCTTTGGAGGCATAGATACAGGGGGAAACACCTACTGCTCTAGGCTGCCTGCCCTTCCACAATTCAGGGGGAAAGCGGGTAGGCAGGAACAATTGAATAGGGGGGGAATGTAATGGCTAGGGGGAAAGGCAGCAAAAAGTTAAGCATAGAATCATAATAACCATAGGCAGCCTGCCCTTCCTTAAATCTTCTTCAACAATCAAATATATGCCAGAGGACATCAACTTTCATAGACTGTAGTTGGCGTATGTTGTGTTTTTGGCAGTGCCATGCAAATTTGTTTTAATTTGTTTTGATTTCTATTTGCATTTTTAACTGTTCTATGTAAGGCCATCACTGCACTGTTCAAAGAAACACGGGCAAGGATGGCAATGCAAACTGGGTACTACCTTAGGCAAGAAGGACATCCTAGGAATTGACAACACTAAACACTAAAATAGGTTAATGGTGGTAGCTCCGACAATGGCCTTACAGAGGTGATGTTTATAAGAAAATACCGCTTTGTTGGACCTTCCATTAAAGTGGTTCCTTTCAACCTTCCATGAAAATGGAAAGTCCACTCTATCAAAACCCCCCCCCCACTACCACCTTTCAAGTCAAATTAGATTAGATAATTATCTACAAGCACTACACTAACCCCTCCTTATGCCCTCATCAGCAGCACTCCCTACTGTTTCTTGATCACAACTAAAGCACATTGCACATTCCCTCCTTTGCCCTCTCTCTTTATACTGGGGAGTTGACTTATCCAAATACCCCTTTTATTCACAGTGAATCATAGTTACAAAGAATTTTATGCCCACATTCATTTACTGAGTTCTTAAACATAGAGGATTTGCTGTGAACACATGGTAGCAAAGATCCCAAACTAGATGTGCAGAACAAAAACATTTGTTTAATTTCGGATCAATTCGTTACGTTATTACTTGCATTCATAACAAAATTAGTTTAGTTTCATTTTGTTTATTCGTTTTCAACCAGATTCAGATTTTTCCAATGGATTCAAAGTATTTGAATTAAATTCAAAATGAAAATATTGAATTGATCGGAATTCATTGTGAAGAATAGCTGGTTCTATACTAATTGAAATTTGAATTTCGAAAGACGGTTATATTCTTTCTATTCTAATCTATTATATTATTGTCTATTCTATTCTTTTATTTTATTATATTATTTTCTATTTTATTCTGTGTTATTCCATTCTAGCCTGTTTTACTTTATTTTTTTTCTATTCTATTTTATTCTTTTCTATTCTTTTCGAAATTCAAATTTCGAAAGATCACTGTATTCTTTCTATTTTATTTTATTTTAGACCAAATAGAGACTAAGGACCATGCATATCAGCATTTCTAATACCAGCAACAACTCACCCAGTGACAGGATCACCATAGAGCAGAAAGAATACTTACCTGTTCCTATGACATTGGCCCTGTGCTGGCAGAACCAAAAAAGGTGTGTTCCCATTACTGCTTTCTCACAGGAAAGCATAGTTCTACAGTATTTTGGCCAGCAAGGAGCAGGTAGGTGCTGTCTTTAGCAATCCTGTTGCTGCTGAGTTACCACCTATGATAGGATTGCTAATGGTACAAGACCCTAAGCACCACCATGCCTTTTCTATCATTATGTCAACCCTTTGACATTCAGCTTTAAAAATGTGCAAATATCAAAATGTCGGACATTTGAATGATAGAGGACACAGCTTACTGTTGGGAGCAGGTGGGGCTTTATCTATGTTTTATATGAAGAGTCCCATATGGCATGTTTAAGACAAATATAGTACTTACGCACACCACTGAACATCAATGTATGGTTTTTTTTAAAGTTAATTTTAAAACAATAATACGGACTTTGCTTCTTTTTTTTTTTAGACAGACGATACAAATCAAGATGACCCCACATGCATAAGACATGGTTTATATGGAGAAAAGTGAAGCATTTGTAGTGGTGGTCAGTACTTTCATAAAAATGCTACTAAAGACCTTTTGCTGATCATAAGTCATTTGACAAATATCTTAATTTTAAAGTTGATGCTTTATATACTGCTTTGTTTGTCATATACTGAAATTGTAACATGTTCTAATTTTTCTAATAAAGTATTATTGGACCAAATTTAAAAAATGCTGCAGTATTATAGCTGCTTGCCACCCTATAGTAGAAGTACTGCTACAGGTTGGATTAGCTGCGCAAAATCACGTATATATACATGATTTGCATTTCTGGGTAGGGGGCTCACGCATGCACTGCCCTACCACTGTTGATGGCTAGGGATGTCAATCACCGGGTCCCGGCCGGCACTCAGCGATCTTCAGGGAAAGCTGACAGGAGAGAGATCTGTGTGTAAACAATACAGGTCTCTGTTCTGTCAGCAAGGACATGCTGCTTTGTATTTCACTGTACAACAGAGAAATACAAAGCAGCATGTCTCCATAGCAAAACACACACAGCACACAGTTAACCCTTTGATTGCCCCAGATGTTAACCCCTTCCTGCCCAGTGTGATTAGTACAGTGTCAGTGCTTTTTATTAGCACTGATCATTGTATTAATGTCACTGTATTAATGTCAGTGGCAGTTAGTCAGTTCCCACCCCAGTGTCAGAATGCCCACTGCAGTCCCGCAGTCCCGCTATATGTCGCTGATCACCGCCATTACTAGTAAAAAAAAAAATTCCAGTATATATACTGCCATTTGTAAACTCTATAACTGTCACACAATCGAATTAATTTACACCTATTGGAATTTTTTTTTTTAGCAGAATACATTTTTGCCTAAATCTATGACAAATGTGAATTTTTTAATATTTTTATTGGATATGTTTTATAGCAAAAAGTCAAAAATATTGTTTTTTTTCTCAAAACTGTTGGTATTTTTTTATTTATAGAGCAAAAAGTAAAAGATGCACAGGCGATCAAATACCACCAAAAGAAAGCTCTATTTATGGGAAAAAAGGGCATAAATTTTAATTTGGGTGCGGTGTTGCATGACAGCACAATTGTCAGTTAAAGTAATGATGGCCTGATCAGGAAGGGGGGTCAATCCTCTGGAGGGCAAGTGGTTAAATATACAGATTTTTAGATTAGCATGTAAACAAAGACCTCAATGGTTCCAAATGTACTCCTTTCCTTAACAACTATTGATGAGATATTAGCTGAAGAGTTAGCCAACTTGCAGACGTGCATTGTGAGAAGGAGTAAAGCAGAACAATTAAAAGCAGGAAGCAGAGAATGCTCATATGCTGAGCAAATAGGAATGATATATACTGTGTATAAATATATACATACAGGGGCGGACTGACCATTTGGAAACTCGGGCACTACCCGAGGCCCAGGGCAGTAGGGGGCCCCATGAGATGCAACTGGTACCTTTTTCATAGGCTTTTTTGAGTTTCGGAAGGACATGGGGTCCCATGATCCCCTATTGCCCGGGGGCCCCATGAGTTGTCAGTCCGGCCCTGTTCCTGACCCTATCCAAAAATGCAACACTGAAAATGCATACATGTAAACGTGTCCCACGGGAAACTGTGTTAAATGGACTGTAGTGCATTTCTGCAGAAAGCACTAAAAACCACATAGATGTGAACCAGGCCTAAAGTTGAATTTGTATGTAAGTTGAAACAGGTACATTTTTTAAGTGTAACTACAACCAAAAAAAATTATTATTAAGTTTTGGATTGCATAGGGAAAGGTTACCTGGCCATGCAGTGATGCAGGATTGCTGGTAGGTCTGCTGGATAGTAGGTAACAGCATGCGGTGAGCATTTATATATATATATTTATTACACTATTAAATTTATATCGCAGTATTTTCTTGGCTTCCTTTTCAATTAAACTCTTTCCCCTCATCTCCCTATATCAACCCATTTTATTCTCTTACTTAGCAACCAGCATAGTCCCTTTCTATTCCTTCTTTATATAAGAGTCCTTTCTTTCTGGAAGCTCCCTCCAACCTGATTTGTTTGCCCAGCTTTTGGTGGGGATGTTCTTGGGCAACAGACTTAGAAGCAAGATCATTGCAGTCAGCCTTCAAGTGCTTTTACATGAAAATGGCTTGCTTTTGTGTTGCTTGGATTTGCTTCTGTACGCCTTTAAGATACTCAAGGAGTTACCTCAATCTGCTTTTCCATCTTTTTTTAATTTACTTTTGAGTAGGTATGAGATTTGGGTTCACTGCTGCGTTATGTTTGCAACAAATATCAGTTCATTTAAACGGCGATCTTATGATATTGTTCATCATCTGAGCGGTAAAAGTGAATCCCCACTGTTTATTGCATATACTGTGAACTGTGGTGGTTTCATGTATAGTGCCTGCCATTCAGGCCAAGCAGGCTGAATGATAAAAAGCTAAGGAGCTTGCGAGGAGGACTCTGTATTAACCACTTGTCCTCCTGAGGATTTACTCCCCTTCCTGACCAGGCCATTATTTGTGTTACGGCACTGCGTTAATTTAACTGACAATTGCACGGTCATGCAACGCGGCACCCAAATTAAATTTATGTCCTTTTTTCCCATTAATTGAGCTTTCTTTTGGTGGGATTTGATCACCTGTGCGTTTTTTTATTTTTTGCGCTGTAAGGAAAAAAAAAGACCGACAATTTTGAGAAAAAAACAATATTTTGGACTTTTTGCTATTAGCCACTTGCCTACAGGGCACTTATACTCCCTTCCTGTCCAGACCAGTTTTCAGCTTTCAGCGCTGTTGCACTTTGAATGACAATTGCGCGGTCATGCAACACTGTGCCCATATGAATTTTGTATCTTTTTTTGAGACAAACAGAGCTTTCTTTTGGTGGTATTTAATCACCTCTGGGTTTTTTGCTAAACAAACCAAAAACAATTGAAAATTTTGAAAAAAAAAGTTTTTTCTTAGTTTTAAATTATAACATTTTGTAAATAAGTGATTTTTCTCCTTCACCGATGTAAGCTAATGAGGCTGCAGTGATGGGCACTGATAGGCTGACTTATGGGCACTGATGAGGAGGCACTAGTAGGTGGCACTGATGGGCATTGACAGGCATCACTGATAGGCACTGAAAGGCAGCAATCATATATGGCACTGATAGGCGGCACTGATAGACGGCACTGATAGACAGCACTGACGGGCAATGATAGGCAGCACTGATGCGCACTGACAGGCGGCACTGACTGGCACTGATCGGAGGAGCTGAATGGCACTGATAGGTGGCACTGATCGGCAGCACTGATAGGTGGCACTAACTGGCATTGATAGATGTCACTGACAGGCAGCTCAGATGGACACTGATATGTGGCATTGATGTGCACTGATAGGCACTGATATGTGGCACTGATGGGCACTGGCAGGTGGCATTGATGAGCACTGACAGCTGGCATTGCTGGGACTACACTGATCATCAAGGCACACTGATCATCAGTTCCCTGATGATCTGTGTACATGTCCCCTCCGAGGATGCCGATTACCGGCTCTCCTCTTCTCTCGAGCTGTCAGCGTGACAGCTCGTGAGGAAAGAAATACCGATAACCGGCATTTCCCTATTTACATGCGATCAGCTGAGATTGGACACAGCTGATCACATGACTGAGCCGACATCTTCGGCTCTTTCCGTTGATCGATGATCTGCTGTGTCCGAGGGACACAGCGCACTACTGATCTGTGCACTCATGGAGCCGCGCATGCGCGGTTAGAGTGGGAGGACGACATATGACGATAAGTCCAGTAAACAAAAATTTAAAGATCAACTGTCCTAAATGTAGGCCAAAATGTATTCTGCAACATGTCTTTGCTAAAAAAAAATCCCAATATGTGTAAATTAATTGGTTTACGTGAAAGTTATAGCATTTACAAAATGGCGGTATAGATACTGGGATCTTTTTTTTTCTACTAGTAATGGTGGCGATCAGTGACTTTCAGCGGGACTGAGGTGGACATTCTGACACTGGGGGGGGAACTAACTTGTGTCATTGACATCCCCAGTGACACCTATACAGTGATCAGTGCTAAAAAAAAAAAAGCACTGACACTGTACTAATGGCACTGGGCAGGAATGGGTTTACATGAGGGGTGATCAAAGGGTTAAGTATATGTAGACAGTGTTTTACTAGGGGGTGGGGGGGTGTGTGCTTCACTGTAAGCACACTCATCGAGATGGCTGTACTGTGCACAGCCATCCCGAGCACTGTGCCCGAGCTGACAGGGAGGAAGACTGTTTGTAAACAAAACAGTCTTCCTGCCCATCAGAGATGCTCGGTAATCACCGGGTACCGGCTGGTAATCAGCGGCTGGGACCCGGTGACTGACAGCTGGTGGCGCCGGTAGGGCGCACCACCCCCTACCCGGAAATGCTAAATCACGTATATATACACTATAGTATTTCTGCTATAGGGCAGTCGGAAAGCGGAAATTATGTGATACTAGTACAGTGATCTCCCTTCTGAGCTACTGTGTTCTGACAGGTGGACTGCCCCCACCCCCCCCTTGCCAGAACACACCGGTCAGCGCTTTCAGCCATTGACTGCGAGCACTGATCAAATGGTGACCAGCAGATGTTTTTCTAGCATGCCCAGAAGTTGGACGTTTGGCTGGCTTTTGTTGGACAGGCTGCTGTACACATAGGCCAAATTTCAGCTGGTTTCTGTTGAACTGGTCGATACCGGCTGATATTCGACCCATGTGTACCAGGCTTAAGTCAAACTTTCCCATCAGCCTTTCATCACTGTTTTTTGGACTTGGAGTACTGGAGGACATCTGACAGTGATTTTCAGGGAGAGCTACAGGAGTTAGACAAAAAAATGAAAATATTACATGATTTTCAGGTGTGAAAGTGACTACATGTTTTATGTTGAAAGCGTAAATTATGTAACATTCTTTCCACTGTGTGATGAGACACCTAGCTGACAGGTGAGAAGGCTCACTTTCTTCATTCACTGCGTGTGCTGCTAATAATATTGAGTCGTGTCAAAGCTTACTGAGCTTCAGTGCCTGTTCAAATATATACGGATTGGATGAGGTTTGAACCACATCCAATCCACATGACATGAAATAACATTGCTTCCTATGGTGCCTGTTCACATATGTCTGGTGCACTGGCAGTGCAGATTGAAAGAGACTGCTGTCCAATTTCTGAGCAGTGCGATTCCGTTCAGATGTGGGTTACAGGCTATTGACTTATATGGCAACTATTTCTAGACCACATATGTGTGAATAGAATCAAATCCTGACCTGATCCTGTCCTGAACCTGATGTAAACCTGACATGAACCGCTGAACAACTACTTTATCAATTAGCTGTGAAACTTGAGCTTCAATCTGCACTGAACATGTGTGAATCAGCTCTCAAAAGAGAGCAAACTGTTGGTACCCCCGCTTAGTTGATACCTCTGTGACTGATATTGCCAATTTATTTACGGGGTACAGTATTAAAGGTTATGATGGCATATACAGTTTCCCAGAAAACATTGTCTGAGAAGCATGAGCACGGTCGACATGGGCAAAAGATGGAAAAAGACAAAAAGGACATTGTGCAGGACTGTGACCCGGAATAAGAAAACAACTGCTGCAAAAGTGACTGCAGAGCTCAGTCTCAGTTCCATGAAGACATGCTCTACCTCTGAAGAAGTGCGTGCGCACGAAACGCGTCAGATGGAGCCCAGGACGCCATTGACACTAAGCCGCCGGTGCCACGTGGAGGCCCGGCGGCCACCTTTATTTTCAAGGGGTCAGTGTGTTTGCTCATACTTGGCACTACTATGTTCTATTGTGCACTAGTGTTTATAATAAAATTTCTACCTACTACACTATGAGTGCTTCCTATGTCTCCTGTGAGGAGCTTTTTAACCCCTACAGCCCTAAGTGATCCCTGTGTCAGTTCCTGAGAAGGAGGAGGCTGATCTTGATTGATTCTTCTCTGACCTGCTGGACCTTTCTTTCACCACATGAGGGCGTAGGATCTCCATTTTTCCCAGCTACTTCCTTGTCCAGACCAGAAAGGAGAGGGGGACCTTCAGGATATATGCTCACATGCGTATTACTTTACGCTCTCTGGTTAGTGTGTATTTCTACCATTTGCACTGGGAATCAAGTAGCACCTTTATCGGACTGTGTTTCATCATCATTTTAATGTTCATTATTTTAATGTTCCTTTTAAGCGCTGCATTTGTTTATATATGAATTTTGGGGACTTTTTATGCGTTTTCCTTTAATGTTCAGCTGCTAGAATCATTGAGAGCGCTTACTATATATTGTATTATTCCCCTGTATATTTTAGTGAGTTGACCATGTCAATGGCGTCTATGCTTATTGTAGGAAGTTTTCCCGGAAACTGTATGTGCGGTCACAACCTTTGATACTGTACCTCATAAAGTGGCAACTTCAGTCATAGAGACACCAGCTAAGCAAGCACCAACCAATTTGCCCTCTTTGAAGCTCAGGAATCTCTGACATGATTTTGTATTACTAGCAGCACACTCAAAGTGAAGTGTCCCACCTGTTAGGTAGGTGTCGCATCACACAGTGGAAGCAAAAGAATGTTACATCACTTCCAACGCGAACGCGAAACATGTCATCACTTTCACACCTGTAAACTATGTAGTGTTTCCATTTAGTTGTCTAACCCCTGTTAGTGCTAGTATACAGTGCTAGTGCACTACTTGCAGAGCTATACAGTGGCATATATTCCCACTGCTATATTACAGTGAATTGCAGTGTTGTGGTCTACAGAGAATGGAGTGAAAACCCTACGCACACACACACACACATTATATTGACAAAAAATAGACCCAACACTCTTTTTTGGACTACCTTTTTGGGAATTTTTTTTGTCTTTCTTCTAGGTGTTTATAGAAAAAAAATACAAAATGGATTTAAGGAACCATTTTTTGAGGGGAGGGCTAGAATTTCAATTTAAATTTTTTTTTTTTTTTTTTTTTTTGGGGATTGGAGGGAGGTATAGTTTTATTTTTTTAGGGTCTTTTAATTGTTTTGGATGGTAATCAGCGTCACCAACAAAACTGCCCATTGTTAGTGGCACATCACTGCACACTCTTTTGGCCCAAGTTTATTGCACAGAGCTTAGAGAATATTAAATTGTTAAAAAAATATTATGATAGCTGCAATGTAGATACTCTTAAAAACACTTCTGATATACAGGCAAAAAACTAATAGCAGTGAGGTACAGCATTTGCCAAAATATAGAAAAATATAGTAAAATAAAGGTGTCCACACCATGATATCTGATTTGAGATGCTAATTGGACTAAAATGGAATATAATCAACAGTTGAAAGTATACTGAACCAGACCTGAAATAGCAAGGTTGAATTTTACCCGACTCTAGCCAATACATACAGTTATCGCATCTCTACAGACAATTTAGTCAGAACCACTGACACATTGGGCTGGATTTACTAAAGCTGAAGCATGCAAAATCTGGTGTAGCTCTGCATAGAAACCAATCAGCTTTGTGGTTTTGATGTCAAAGCTTAATTGAATAAGCTGAAGTTAGAAACTGATGGGCTATCATGCACGTGCTCCAACTTTAATAAATCTTCCAAGCAGTATTTATTTTTATCTGCTTCTATTTCCCTGGGATTAGATTACTTGTTACATATCATTCCACCATTGATTAGCCTTTCAGCTCTGTTTCAGCATACTTCCAACTGTTGATTATATTCCATCCTAGTCTACTTAACATTTTAACCCAGACATCACTCTGTTGACAGCTTTTCTTTACTATTGTGGTCCAGTTTACTGCACACAATCACCACAGTGTCAAGGAAACCCAAGCACTACATCCTCAATCCCTCTATTGCCGTAGCTGCCAATAAAATCTTCCTTTAGGTCATCATACCAGGAGGACTTAAAGAAAGAGTCAGAGGTTCTTCACGTGCAGCCAGCAGAGCGCAGGTTGGGCATCTACAGGCCAAAGCAGTTTGTAAGGCCAAACCTTTGAGAGGCGGGACACATCTGCCTTTCTTTTCTGGCAGTGGGCCTACTATACAGCCAAAGCACATGGAGGAGGTGGTGTAGTTAATAACAAAGCCTTCATCATCTTTCGCCTTCTTCTCCCAGATGCAGACCAACACAGTGTCTTCAGCAGCTGCTAATGCACTGCCTTCTTGTTTCCTCTTTAAAATCTATTCCCACTGTAGCCTCACAAACTAGCATTGAAGAGTCAGATTAATTATGTTATACTGCATGAAGATGAGCAGTAATTAATTTTAGCACATCTTAAAAAGAATACATGTCACAGAGAGGAAGAAGACAACAGACAGATAGAATCAATTGCCAGTGATGTCCCGGCAGCTAATTCCAGCAACTTCTGTGAATTTTCAGCCTGTGCTGTATAACATTGACAGGTACTCTTTTGCCATTTTTTTGGCCCTGAAGATCATCCCCACTCTGCATGAGCATATGTCATTTGATGTAGAGAGCAGCAGGATCAACCAGGTTTTATGCAGAGTATAGAAAACGAATCTCGTAATGACTGAGTAAATATGAACAGCATATAATACAGCATTTATTGGATTGAGTTTTTTATGATGTAAGTTTAGTGACACATTAAGGCATCTCTGAAGCATGCAGTTTTAAGAAATTGTATTTTACTATGTCACCCTTAGTCATGCAAAAATATATATACATAAGTTGTATAAAAGTGAAGGCCCTCTGCCCACCAATTGGTATTATTTATTTATATTTCATTTTTACAGTGCCCAGATCCCCATGCCCTTTGTTTATCAATCCCTGACCTAATAGGCCCCATGTACATGGGACACTTCTGAATGATGGAAACTGCTGGACAACGTAGGTTAAAAAATGTCTGTTTAGACGTATTTGCATAACGCGTTTAGAAGCGTTTTTTAAAGATAAGCACAGGAGAACCTCCCCAAATGCCCAGAATGCACTGAAAAGTAGTAGTATGTGTTGAGACAATTAGGTGGGAGTTGCTCATTAACATTTCTTTTGTTTCCAAGGGTGGAAAGGTGTCTGGTGTAGTGAGTCATTAAGGTCACCTGGCAGGGGGTCATCATAAGGAATTTGAATGTTCCTCATGGTCATTAACATATCTTTTTTTTCCAAGGGTGGGAGAAGCTTGAGGTGTGAATTGGTCATTACAATGTGTGAGGAGCTTGGTGAGAACATCCTGTGTTAAGTGTTTTGTCCATCTGAGTACCTTGAAAACAC